CCTAGAGGGATATACCTTAGGAACAAGAAGAACGGCAATAATCGGAAACTATGTTGAGTAATCAGAGTGTGGATATGACTATTCTGAAACTGTTGTGTATTTTTGTGGGGATAATGTAGGTGGGTAAAATGCTGGTATTATAGGAACTGGATTTTCAGTATGGACAAAAGAGATATAGACAAAAGACCAATGAGATTATTAGTCTGTCATCATGAAATGGAATTGAAAGTGTGAGTATCTATAGTATCTTAAAAAATAAAGTATTGTTTAGCTAGCCGTTAACAGGGCCTAGAAACAACAACCATTTCTGGAATAAATGCACTGCAAGTGCTGAAACTGTGATATCTACAACTATCATTTCTCTCTAAAAGCAACAAGAGCCCCTTGAAGAAATGGCCGATGCCTGGCACAGTGAGGGGAATGTATACATAATAGTTTGGAACACCTTGTTATACCAAATTGCAAGGAAGCCATCAGAGACTACTGGGGCCACATCAAGAGGGCTCACCGTCAAGTTGAAGAGGTCAATGATGGGTCCATTTGTACCACTGAATTGGCAGCACCCAGTACCATTCAAGAAGCATAATCATGGTAATAGATTGAAACATGTCAGATTTGTATTAAAAAAAAACCTTAGTTATCTAATAGTACTACCAAACCCAAAACAAAACAGAAAGATGTCCCCCTCCAACCCAAGCTCATCTATTACCTGAGAAGACAATAAGGAATCCATTTATTATTTATTTTTTCTGTTTTTTAGAAATAGAGATGGGGGGTGGGGAGTCTCACTATATTGCCTTGGCTGGTCTTGAACCCCTGGCCTCAAGCAAGTCTCTGCCTCAGCCTCCCAAAGTGTTGGGATTAAAGGTGTGATACACCACGCCCGGCCAGAACCAATTCATTATATGAAAAATTGGTAAATAAGGGAAAAGAATTGAACACTTACCCTGCTTTTCCTAGATAAACTGAAACTTCAGGTAGCCAAAAAGTTGATAAAGGGAAAATTCTTGTTTTTTGAAAGCATTTCAGTTACTAAGTCAAGAAGAAATTATAATATTTGCCTATCCCCATATTATAACCCTTATTGAAATGATAGCTCATAGATGACTGTCAGTGGCTGACCTCACAGTAAGAGAGACAGCCGGACTTTGTGCCTTCTGATCGAAATACATAATGCCATCTAGGAAGTAAAATATTTCTTTTCTTCTCTTTTTTTTTTTTTTGAGACAGTCTCGCTCTGTCGCCCAGGCTGGAGTGCAATGGTGTGATCTCTGTTCACTGCAACCCCTGCCTCCCAGGTTCAGGCAATTCTTCTGCCTCAGCCTCCTGAGTAGCTGAGATTACAGGTATTTTCCCCTTCCCCTGGCTAATTTTTTTTTTTTTTTGAGACGGAGTCTCACTCTGTTGCCCAGGCTGGGGTACAGTGGCACGATCTCAGCTCACTGCAAGCTCCGCCCCCTGGGTTCATGCCATTCTCCTGCCTCAGCCTCCCAAGTTGCTGGGACTACAGGCGCCTGCCACCGCGCCTGGCTAATTTTTTTTTGTA